TAGGGTCGCCTTGACGTGTTGGTGCGAGTTGGGTTCAGGATGGTTCCGGAGCCGCTGTCGGCCTGCCCCGACTGGAAGTCTTGTGAAGTGCAGGTTTGGAAGGTGACTGTCGGGCCGTCAAACACAGCATGCAAGGCGGACAGGCAAACGTTCGGAAACACCATCGTGTGCTTAACAAACAAGCACATGTCCCTTACACTGAGGTCGAGCTGTTTCGATACAGTGTTGTCTGCCACTGTGTTGTTTGGGTTACATACAGTGCCATTGACGCAATCACAACTTCATGATTTGTATTCTTATCAGCGACGTATGCCAATGACATTTTGGGTCAACACGATGTCGCAGATAAATCAAAGGCTGAAGCCGGCGTGAGAGCTTGCTTTGAGGCCTAACCGTGTCACAGCCGACACATCTGCAAACCAGAAAGTGAGTTAACGTCCGGACACTGCCGCTCGAGACCTCACCTGCAAATTGACGGCTCCTGGACCTTCGCCCTGTTTGACCTTTCTTTGACCTCTTAAATTCTGCGCCGGTTTGGAGCATCTTTTGCACTTTCTTTAGGCTTTCTGTTGACTCCAGGTCCCACACCCTGAGACCCATAAACTTTAGTCGTAAACTGTAGGCCCTAAACCCTAAACTCGAAACCCTAAAGCCGAAGCCCTAGGGAACTAGGCAAGCCTGCGACGGGTGGCCTTTGCGTGCATCTGAAAGGTCCAGCAGCAAGGGTGGCGGTTGGCAGTGGGACTGGCGCGATCAGCCTTGGTTGCTTGTAGCTGCAATGCGCTCCAGAAATCTTGTGCGAATTTCTGGGTCCCCGCAGTGTACCAGGTATCCAAAACCAAGCAACCCATGCAGAGCCAAGCCACAGCTTTTCAGAGCTCTGGGTCCCCATCCTGCGCTGCGACCCTCATTTCTGGCCAGAGGTCTACCTGCTCGTGCGAAGTGAAGGTTTGGAAGCTGGCTTTGACGTGTTGGTGCGAGTTGGGCGAGCCGCTGTTGGCCTTCGCCGCGACCCCCTTTTTTCTGTGGCCGGAAGTCTATGTGGAGATTTTCAGTGTGAGGCGAAGGTTTGGAAGGTGACCGTCGGGCCGCCTTTAAAGGGATGCGGGCTTTCTTCGCGTCCCCACTTTCCCCACTTTCGAGGGACTCCTTCAGATGATGCCCTGACTGAAAGACCACAAATTGAAGAGCTGCCGTGATTCGTGCGAGAGCTTGCGTCGAGACCTATCCGCATCAATGCCGACACATCTGTGAGCAAGCAAGTGAGTTAAAGTCTGGACGCTGCCGCTCGAGACTTCACCGGCAATTTGATCGCTTGTGGGCCTTCGTTTGTTTCGGCCTTTGCGCCTCTTAGCCCTGTCCCACGCTCAGTGTTGAGCCGTCTAGCCCAAGCCGTCTCCGCCAAAAGATGAAGTAGCTTCCCTGCTACAGCCTGCCTCAGCTCGTTAAGATCACGGGTGCCGTCGAGACGAGCGTCCCACCATGCAAACTGGACATGCTAGATCTGGACGTCGGCAGACTTCGTCGAATTCGTGGCCTGGGATTGGCCGGTGGAGAGTGTTCTTGCATGACCGCTTTCCCTCCCGACTTTTCCTCCTGGCCCTCATCCACAGGCCGCCGGCGGTCCCGTGCTGCCGCCGAGGCGGATGCTGCAGTGGTCTCCCAGTGGTCTCCCAGCTTTGGCGCAGTTCCGACTTAAGGAGCCACACTTCAGAATCGATCTCAACTCATGGTGTTTGAAGGCAGGTTTTGGAGCAGCTGGGGAAGCAGGAGAGCTTGGGCTGCTTCTCAGCTTTTTGCCAGGGACTCCTTTAATGGGTGCTTGGCCTCCGGGAGCGCTCCGCTCCTGGTGAGGTTCCGCGCCAAGGGGATGACAGGGCTCAGACTGCTCGGATTTTTCTTCCGCTTCCGCTTAGCTGCTTGCAACGATACTGGGTCGAAGCGGCATTCTGCGATAGACGCCGAAGCGAACGACGCCGTCCTGGCCGAGATTTGAGCCCAGCTATGCCTTGTTTGGTCACTGCAAAAGCCTGCTTAAGCTGAACGTTGAGGTCCTTCCCGCCATGCTTGAGCTGCTTGTGCTTACAAGTCTGATCGCCCGCAGCCTCTGAACTTTCAAAGAGCATTCCAACGTGAGCCCCAAACCTTAAACCCTACACCTCATCGTATGAATGGTATGCCCTCTTGATCTCTGTCAGCCCTCCGCTGGCTCCCCGCGGTGTTCAAGATATCCGAAGCTAGCCAGATCATGTAGAGCAAAGCAACTCGAAGGGTCCGCAGCTTTCGGGGAATCCGGGAGGCTGCACAGCATAGGGCTTCAGAGTTGCTTTGCAGTGGCGGAGATTTCGCGTTGGGTTCCGGAGCCGCTGTTGGCCTTGGCCGCGACCCCCTTTTTTCTGGCCGGAAGCCGGAAGTCTGTGTGGAGAGTTCAGTGTGAGGTGAAGGTTTGGAAGGTGACCGTCGTACCGCCTTAAAGGGTAGATGCGGGCTGTCCTCGCGCCCCCACTTTCGAGGGACTCCTTCAGATGATGCCCTGACTGAAGGACCACAAATTGAAGAGCTGCCGTGACAAGATGTATCTCTGAAGCCGGTTCGCGCGAGAGCTGGCGTCGAGAGCTATCCGCATCAATGCCGACACATCTGTGAGCAAGCAAGTGAGTTAACGTCTGGACGCTGCCGCTCGAGATTTCACCGGCAATTTGATCGTTTGTGGGCCTTCGTTTGTTTCGGCCTTTGAACTTTAAAGAGCTTTCCTGCAACGGTTTGGAGTTTTTTGCGCCTTTCTTGGGCTTTCTGTTGACTCCCAGTCCCACGCCCGGCGTTTAGCCGTCGGAGCTGAGCCGAGCTGCGACATCGAGCTCGAGGCGTGCGTTTTTTACCCATGGCCCAAGGCCGCCTGCGAGGCTGTCTCCGCGGTTTCGGCGAGATCCGCAGTGCACTCTAAAGGCTCCATGGATCATGCTTTCGGATTGATGCCCTAAGAATCCTAAAAAGCCGGGGCACAGCCATGCAAAGCCGTGCAAAGCCCCAAACCTTAAGCACTAGCTTCTGCACACCCGACGGCCTCGGGTCCTTGAAAGAGTGAAGGCGACCTTTGGAGGGGGCGGCTGAAGGTTCTGAAGGTTGCTGTTTCCGGCTGAGAGAGAGTCCGACAACTCGGAGGCCTTACAGTTTACAGGACATCTCTCATGCTTCTGTGGACTTAATTTAAGCGGGATGCCCCTGCAGCGACCTTGTGAACATGCTGCAACATCGGCCGGTGTTGATGGCTCGGATGCGCACCACGTCATGACAGGATACTCATATCCCATGACTCCATGACTATTTCCGTGGTGGTGACGCGGCAAGCACCCGTGGTCTTGCCCCTTTGCCAGCAGCGGTGTTGCCGGGGCGGTGTTTGAAGCCGCATGGTCGGGAGGCTGCTTGGTTTCGGTTGTCCCGGGTTTGTCGTAGGGATTCGTAGGGCCTATAGGTCTTCGGTGTTGTGGGGGGTTGCTGAGTTTCCAGTCAGAAAATAAATTCCTCTTGCGAAAGGCGCAGGTTAAGCACCTCGGTTGGTCTCAATCATGTGGCATGCAGGTGTTAAAAAACAACAACAAAAGCGCCAGCGACATACGTTCGCAACACCCGTCCCACAAGCTCTGAACGCGGGAAGTCTGTGAACAGTTTGACTGTCCCTCGGCTCTTCTAGTGCCTTTATCTAGAAAGGCAGGGGCTCACAGCTGCCAGGAGCATGTGCTGGTGCTTGTGCAGGTTTTGGGTTTGATAGGCGTGAGGACGAGCGCGCAGGCTGTTTTCAGCGCCACTCTCGAGAGTTCCGCGCTCTTTTGGAGGCACTCAGTGCAGGGCAGCCATATGCTTGTCTGGTGAGTAGTGTTGCTTGTTGCTTCTTTCTGCTTCTCGGCCGGCTTTGGGCGGACTCGGGGGTCTTGGACCCCAGATCTCTTGGTCTTTTCGCTCGTCGAAGCTTGCTGAAGTAGCCATCGAGCACGCCTTCGGCGCCGACGGCTGTCCACAGGAACAGCGCCGCGAGGAAGCCGCCGTCGGTGCGAGGCCTTGAAGATCCTTGGTTCAGGGTCGTTGAGGCTCGAACATCGGGTTTCGGGCTTACACCTCAGACTCCAACATGTAGCAAAGACATAACCGTCGGAGGTCGGTAGTCGCGATGCAGCAGGTGAAACTTTCTCCGACCTGACCACTGGAATCTCAGCGGCTTGGATGCTGCATGATGCTGCGCTTGTGCAGAGCGTGGAGGGCAGCTTGGACATGATGGACTCTCGCGCCATCACAGGAGGCAGCTGAGCTCCGGCCTCTCGCCACGTCGAACGCTCTCGCGCCTGCCGACCTGCGCTTGGGTCCCTCAGGCAACTCTGTCTGCAGCTACGTCTGTCACGGGGTGTGGGGCGGATGATGGCCGCTTTTCGCATCCCCTGGGACTTTCATGTGAGATTCGGATTTGTCTTTGGCGGCAGAAGGCAGTGCTGCCCCGCTGTCGGCCACGCCGCACGGGATCCAAAAAGGCAGCAGCAAGAGGGAGCTTGGACGGCCGCTGGTCCCTGAAAGCCTCACCTGCTGCACCTCCCAAACCCTAAACGGCCCCTAAACCCTAAACGGAACTAAGCCCTAAAGACCCTTAAAGATCTGGCCTGGCTCCTTGGGTGGGCTCGGGGCCCAGCGCTGCAACTTTCCGGACGGCAGGTCACTTTCCAAAAATCTGTCACTTGCACTTCTGCTAAGGAGGCACAGAGTGGCCGAAGTCAGCTAAATATCATCCGTGGTGACGACGATGAACGATCCGGATCACACAGCAGAAGAACATGAGGGGTCTCCGTTCTCTTGGAAATGCCACGTGGGTGACCGGCTGTAACAGGGCGGTGCAAAAAAAGAGCTCCCTTGGCCGACCGGCAGGTTTCTCGTAAGTCGGCCGCAGCGTCCGGTACGGTCCAGCAAAAACACGGAGCTTCCATGCGGAAGACACTGAGAAGGCGCCTTGAAAAGGCATGGGAGCTCTGCTTTTGGAGAGCGTCCCGCCTCACGTCCTGTTTCCTCGCGAGGCTCCTCACGAGTCCCGCGCTCCATGGACCTTGTCCATCCTCGCCGCCTCTTGCAGCTTCTGCATTTTCTGCCTCAGTTCTGGCAAGGCATGCATCGTGCCACTTGCTGTCCTTGATGTCGGTCCGAGGGCGCTCTCCGACTCTGCGGACGGCTACGTGCAGGTAATGCGGGCTAAGCGCCGGCTCCGAAGGCATCTTCTTCCGTATCAAGACGTGACAGGGACTTGCAAGCTGCAGCGTCGATGCTGTGGCCGCCAGAAGTTGAAGTCGCGAGCGCGTGGCAAGACCCCTGAAATCCTCGGTTTCGGGTTGAACATCCTGACAAGCCCGGCGGTCCAGAAAGAGTTTGAAACCCAGGCAACCCTCCTGCAAGAGTGTAGTGCGCAGGTACAAAGGAGGTGGCTGGCCTCCGTCCTGCTAGGAGCTGCGCATACACAGCGGACCCTGTACCAACATCTCCGAGATGGTGTGCGCACTAGAAGACGATGACCACACGGAGCATCATATGAGATTTTCAGGCGGTGGCAAGAAGACGAGAAGAAGCGCCAAGCTTAACGCGACAGTAGTGGCACATTGGGCAAGTCTGCCCGGTGCTCGCGAGGCAGCAAGAGCTGTAGCAAGCAGCTAAGCCGGCAATTGCGACAGCATGGCAAGCGCAAGGCCAGAGGCGACTGCGGACCGCAAATTGGCTTTTGGAAGCCGGGTTCGCTGTCCCTGAGGCCTTCTTCAAAGTCGGGAGTCTGATGCCGGCTTTCTCCAGGAAGGGCCGGCAAGCTGCCAGAAGGTTACCGCTCGGCTCGAAGCTTTATCACCTACGTCACACTTATGCCTTGAAACGGAACAAAGGGTTGGGCTCAAGAGTGCTGCATTGGCTTCTCTAGGTTCGAAGTTCACGTTGAATTTGAAGATGCCTGAAAGGATTCAAAAACAGCTTAGGGGCTCGGAGTCCTAGGGGTGTCTGCGTGGCCTTCGAGCCCTTAAGGCCCTTCTCGGAGTCTGATGGCTTTCAGGAAGGCGCCAGCTAGCTGCCAGAAGATGAGAACTAGGTGGGAAACCTTAATTTCCCTTTATGGTTCCAGTAAGGGTACCTATTCATAAATCATTTTCAGAGCCCCAAGACTACAGCAACACACCCTAAAGTCCTAAAACCCTCAGCCATCTAAGCCGTAGACCTGACATGGCTATAACCCACGCTTCTGGAAACCGAGCTCCTGTGCCCCCGGCCTGGATGAAGCACTGCTTTACGAGAGCATTGCGTTGTGCCGCTCTTGAGTTGCGGGCACGGCTTTCGGAAGATGGTTACACAGAATGCCTTGTTTGGGGTTGTAGCATGTAGGGAAAATTTAGGGTTTAGGGTGAGGCTCAGTCGCATGTTCATTGGGCGAGTTGCTCCGCTGTGGAGCCTCCTCATTTGTCCGGTCGCCGCTTATAGCCTTCAGCTCACATGGCGGATCCCGACGCAGTGTGGAGCAGCATTAAGATTTTCGAGTCCGCCACGTTCCCTTAGCTTTTCGCCTGGGTCTTGAAACTATGGATCGTGCGTTTGCATTTTAACCAAACTTCCGGACATTTGGAGGACGTGCTGGCCCTTGTTCTTGCTTCCAAGTCCCGAAAGGCATGCTGGAGCGCACGGCGTGCTTCCCTTCTGCGGGAAAGTCCGATCTTGGGGTATCGGCAGGACGACTGAAGCCGAGCGCACCCGTCCTGCTTCAGAACCACCGGGCCGCCCAAAGGCCAGCAATACCAGCAATTGCAACGCCCGTGGGCGGGACCCAGGACTGTCAGCTCTCATCGCATCGTCACTTTCGTCACTTTGGGCAGGAGTGTAAGATAATGTAAGATAATGTAAGCGTCGGGCACATGTTTAGCTGCCAAGACTGTTCTCGAGCGGGCGGTTTGTTGGAGTGCGGCCAGACGCAGTGCTTTTCCTGCTGCTGTCGCATCGTGCAGTCCGAGGCTCAAGGGCAGCGAGCGCCAACGGCACCTTCTGCGCCGTGGAAGTCTGCCGTGGCATGGGGGCCTCGGGGACTTAGAAGGGAAAAGGACACTAGGCCACTAGGCTCTTAGCCGCATTCAGCCATTGTGTGTCAGCTTCCAGGAAACGCAGACGGAAAAGGTTGCTGCATTCTTGCAAGACATAGCAGGCCTGGAGACATGTTAGTACTAGATAGTGTTGCTGCATTTCATCCTTAGCGTACTGACTTGTTACCTTACGGTGTTGTAGCATTTCATCTTCGTTTGATATTGTACGATGACATATTGCCCGGCATCATTTTAAGATACCTCGTTCTGTGTGGTAGTGACGAATTGCGTGGATACAGCATATACATGAATGCACAGTATGTCAGTTGTGGATGTTTGGCCCGTTTTCGCAGGTCGTTGCCATACCGTGAATCAAGCGGGGTAACTAACTTTGGCAGTGCATGGTATCAGGAGGGTTTTTTCGCTGCTTGGTTCCCACGCTTTCAGGAGGTATACCTGGTATATCTCCATCATCACCATGTAGCCATGTAGCGGCGCGCCTTTTCAAGCCCAGGAGCGCGGCGAGAGCTCAGAGAGGGGAGGCTTCCCCACGAGCGAATTTGCTAATACACCGTGCTAAGAGGCACTGTAAGCCTGGAGCTTCGCAAAAAGTTGCATCTCGCCGGTTCGTTGAAGCAGCGAACCTCTGCAGTGCATGAAGCTCGTGTGGTTCGAAGAGATATCTTTGTAGCTTTTTGTTGCCGGCTGTCAGAAGAGTCAGAACAGCACTCATTACACGCTGACGTGCAAGACATCAGGAGTAGGCTGAGCATCACGCATGTTTCCAAGGCTTGCACTGCGGTTTTTCCAGGACAAGGCAGGTTCATCCGTGGCAGCCATGTGCAACTTGGCGCGACCATGGCTGTTGGCTGTTGCCTTTGCTGGCTTCGCCCTTGTGGCGGCTTCCAATGCAGAGATGCAGCTGGCCCCTGCGCAGAATACGTGTTGGGGCAAAAATAGAGGGGCTCCAGCCCTTGGTCTACAGTTGTTAGCTCCTCGTGTGCTCTAGGGTTTTGGGCAGACGTTTGCCCGGGTACTCGTAGTGGTTGATCGAAGAGGACGTGGTAGCCTGGCGCGTGGCTCACATCGTGGCGCATGAAACGGGTCCACTGATTGCTAGCTAGGCTTTAGCTTTGTTGTAGTTTAGGAAGACAAGGGCTATTGTGCTTCTTGCGCTGGTTTGCGTTTGCGGGGCTCGGATGTCAGTGCACCGTTTTGGCCCAGCTCGTTCAGAGCCTTTGAAAATGGGTACCTTACAGTCCCACCAAGCATCCTGGCACTTGCCGCACTCCTCTCAACCCCAAAACCATCCCAAACCCTAACAACCCCCAACAACGAGGCCATTTTCTCCCGCAACGCTACGGCAGTCAAAGAGCTGATTGACTCTGGGCAAGCAGACATCCGCACCTGGCGAAACCCGGCAGCTCGGCCTCTACAAAAAATCTGCTCTGCCCAAGTCGCACATGTTGCATAAGAACTAACGGTCGTCGTCGTAGCAGCAGGAAGAGGGGGAGTAGGGGTGGTGGCTCAGTTGCCCGTTTCCCTTGCGGGGTTTCTAAACGACCCGTTCTTTACCCTTGTGAATGCCCGAAAGGTACGTAGAGAACAAACCAATCGCAAGAAGACCTTGCCTAAAGCTCCCCAAAGCTTTTCTAGGAATATGGGACCTCTTTTCTGATCGATGCTGCCTTCGTCCCAAACAACACGGAAGTCCTCCGGATCTTGCTCGAAGAATGGCCGGAAGGAGCTGGCGGATCGGGGAGAGGGGGGTGCAGGGTTTTTGTGGGGTTTCTCGGGTTTGGGGTTTTGGGTGTAGGGCTAAGGATTGAGGTTTCAAGACAACCTGGGAAGCCTGGGGCTTGCTGGGGGCTTTCAAGGGTTGTGGGCTGCCCTGCGCAGGGGCCTCTGTCACGGAGCCCACCTATGGTGCAACACCCTTGCGGCTCAGCGGCAGTATGGGGACGGGGCATTCTGTAGCACGACTTTCACATCAACTTGCCGTCAGGGGCTCTTTGCTCAGATGTTCAGGCCCAAAAACACCAACATACTCCCCACCTGGCCCCCTTTGTTACTTCCGTCAAGGAGCGCTTTGAAGATCAAGCCGTTTTGCATGAGGAACTCAGGATTGTGACGAGTAACCTTGGCAATTTTGAGAACGCGAAGCTGCTCATGGAGATGTGGCCAGAAGGAGCTCAAGATGTCGATCGGTACTTGGGCACTGGTTGTAAAACTGTTGTCAAATGTACGGAAAGGATGCAACTGCTGTTTGTTGTTGATTGTGAGATGAGATTCTTAGCCTGGTTTGCTGCGCCGTCCGAAAGTTCCTGCAACCAGGTTCGGCAAGACTGCTCTGCATGTTGCAGCGGAGTTTGGCCATCTCCACATTCTCCAGCTTTTGCTCGGAGAATGGCCGGAAGGGTTGCATTTCAAAGACGCGCGTGGCCGGACGCCCATGAACTTTGCAGCATGCGGCTCTGTTCTTTGGCTTGGCTGCAATGAGACCATGGTGTTGAATGCGAAGGATGCATGGAGGGATGTAGCCATCAACCTGCAATGCATGCACTTGGACAAACTTTCGAAAAGTGACCTGGAGCTGTGGCTACAGTGCGGTGGTGACCTTCGGCTTCAGCCGTTTGGGACACCGCTCCTGAGCCACCTGAATGATGAGGAGGCTAAGGACTTCTTGAAGGAGCGTGCGGCCTCGAGGATGTGGGAGAAGATCGCGGGGGACTGGCGCACTTGGGCAGCTCTGGGTGCTGCGCTCGTTGCCTCCTTTGCAGCCCTTGGCCTGGAGCACTTTGCCAAATATTCCAGGCTCAGAAGGCCCCAGGCAGAGCGCAGAGAGCGCACTGAGCGCACTGAGCGCACTCCCTTCGAGCTAGGTGCCCACACGCTGGTGTGCAGGGCTTTCGGGCGCCCGAATGTGGTGCTTCGCAGAATCTGGCGTCTCTGTGACATCTCCGCCTTCATGATCTTGGTGGGCTTCCGTCCGATTGTTATGTACTGGGCGTCATGGTTGCCACTCGTGGCCATTCTTTACATCGTCCCCGGCATCGCCGCCTTTGGCCCGAAGGCCGTTCTCAGCAACCCGCTCCTGATCCTCACCACAGGCAATCTGGCCAGCTGCGTGTTCGGCCTCCTCCGGGTGGTTCTCCTACAGATTCTCTTCGTTCTTGTGCGTGATTCTCAGCTTAGTCTCTGGTTCGATGTTGATGGTTATCAGGAGATGCAGCCAGTGGATGCCTCCTATTGGCTATCCTGGTTAGTGGACCCGGATTTTCACACATGGCTTGTACAAAAGCCGTGGGGGATATGGCCCGAAAGCGACTTGCAGGACACCTTTACCTGGGCACCATCTGCGACGGCCGATGAGATTTTCCAGACAGTACGAAATGCCACTGAGTATTTTTCGCTTGTGTACGCGTCGTGCTTGCTTTTGGCAATTCTGCGCAGCTTTGGGAGGCGTTCTTCTGCAAGTCGGTGCTGTGGAGACTTGGGTGAAAGCGTCGATCAGTTCCATGAGATTCGGCTTGCAGTTCGTGACATCCTTCAGAAGGAAGCGGAGGAGTTTTCCCAAGTGAGCAAGAAGATCAAGCCGGTGGTGGCTTGCGGCTTTCCCTGCCAGGATGCTGGCATTTATCCCAGAGTTGGACTCATGTTGCTGGACATCACCCTTGACATCAACACGATCATTGGATTCCTCTCTGAACGGCGATTCGAGTTTGCTGGCATCATGGCCTTTGTGGTGACACGAAGTCTGCTGAAGCAGATGTACATTCTCAGGCCATGGCATCTCCGACAGGCCTTACACTCCGAGCCAGTCATTGGCAGCCATGTGCAATCTCCCCCTCCACCACCACCCCCCAGAAACGCAGACACTTGCTATGCAGACGGGCCCGTTACGACTGACGATCATGTAGTGGTTCATGAGGTGAGAAACTCCGAAAGTCACGGCCCAGCCCATGTCCCAGTATCATGTGAAATGCTGATAATTTTCACGCTACGCGACCTGCCTCGGCCTGAGCTTCTGTAACGAGGCAACCCACATCGTGGGGGTGGGGGGGGGGGTCGGGGGCGCAAACGTGCCCGTGGGCTGTGGGGAGGGGATTAGAGGTGGGGTGCCTGCTTTGTGCTACCCAGACACCTGCGGCCCTCGGCGGCTTACAGCCTTGTTCCCTCTGCCGAAATGTTGACGGCAGGCGATCAATGCCAGCATCCAAAGAGGAATTATGCGGCAAGACCTCCTTGACTTTCTCATGGCTGCTTGGCTGCTGGGAACACATGCGGGTACCTGGCGTGTTTAGAAGATTAGATTCTTGTGGGATAATGTTGGATGTTGATTAGTGTCACCTCTCCCCCCCCCCCAAACAAAATTGTCCGGGGGTTGGTCTGGCTTTATATGATTTTTTACAAGGGATAAGTTTAGAAGTTTAGATGCTTAAAGGGGATCCAGGCGTTTTCAAAAGGGCAGTTTGTAAAATTTCAAGTGCATCCATACGGTTTTAACAGTGATGAGTGTATATAAATGTAAAAGAGACAACCCTTCCCTCCCCCCTCCCCGAGTTTTCACAATTCCGGGGGCCCTCGTCAAATTTGATCCTGCTGAAGAGTTCACGGATCTTTTTCTCCCATTTCCGGGGGGGAGAACGCACTAATTTCAGGAGCTCATTGAAGAGCACCCTGTTTTGGGAGATACCCGCAAAGCCAGGAGGGGTCCCCAAATGCAGTAGCTCAGTAGTTGTTGCTGAAAGCGCGACCCAAGCAGGAAACAAGAAACGTCGGCATGTCCAGAAGCTGCTCATCCTCCACCGGCTAAGGAAGAAAGAAGCTCCGAAGCTATTGCTGCTGCCTGGCTTACCGCTTGGTCGATCTTCCTATCAGTCACCACGGCCTTTCAGATGCTCCTCAGCCCAGCTTGTTAGGGTGTCCCCGCATCATTCAACCGCAGCGGGTGGGCCCTGGGTTGACAGCCAGGGTTGCCTACATCCCAACAGGAGCCCTAGCTTAACCTTCTGAGAACGGCAAGCCCTAAACCGAAGGCCGAAGCATCCCTAGCCCCAAAAACGGCACAACCTTGCAAAATGAACTCCTTTCCGGGTTTTGCGCTCCTTAATTTTTTGGTGCAATGGTCACAGTTTTGGCCTTCTAGGCTGGATGCTGCTGAGAAAACCCTGCTGAACCGGTTTTGTCATTTGGGGTAGTTATGGTTGAAAAGTGTTGGGCGTTGGGTTTAGGTTCTTGGAAGGGCTTCTGGTGTTAATATGGGCTTGTCTCCAAGTATGTGGAGCTGCTCAGCTACTTCTTGTCGCCAGTGGCAAAGCTCGACCCTGAGCCCTCCAAAACCCTAAGCCCTGAACTTTAAACCAACATGTCCCGAGGTTGGTCCAGACATTCAGCTTCTTGCTCAGCCTGGTTTCCGTTGCAGGCGGGCTCCCGCTCTTGAAGGGTGCAACCCTTGTCCGTTAGGGGGGGTTGGGGGGTTTTTTGTTTCTGCCTCGCCATCACGCTGATATATCCCGGAGAGCTCTGAGCCCTTCGTTTCCGGGCTTCCCTTGGTCCTTACCAGAACCTCTCTCACCAGCTGGCGAAGTTGCTGGCCTTTGTTCCGGCAGAGCTCCCACAAGAAAGGCCGGTCACCGATTCGTTGGAGTGAGGGCAACATCTTCGTGCTTCGCACGACGTTGCCGGTCTGCTGAGGACCAACCGTGGGGACCCTCAACCAGGGTGCCAATCGTAGGATCACGTACTACAACTTCCTGTTTGACCGCCTTCAATCCAGTTTTGGGATGGTTGATTCACAAGAAGCTTGCGTGAAGAGTGCTGTTGGAGGACGTGCCTCCTGCGAACCGAGGTTGCTTGGCAAAATGCAAAAAGGAACCCGAAAACTCAGCAAGGACAGCAGCACAAAGGAGCACCTTCCACCGAAGCCACGGCTTCGCGGATCACCCCCAGTTGTCGATCCATCGCCTCACCTTCGCCAGCCCCCCCCCCCCCCCCCCAGCCCACGTAGCGATGGGGGTGTCAAAGGGCCCTTGATGCTATTTCCTTGAAAAAAAGAGGAAACGGGCTTGGGGAACGAATGTTTCCTATTCTAAGGGGCTTGGGGGCATTCTTTAGTTAGCAGAACCCTTGCCCATTTTGGGTAATAATACCACCAGTCAACCCATTAGACGATTATTCCTATACTCCCCCCTACACCTCACCAACTATATCACTACTACTACCCCATTACCAATAATGCCAATACCAGTATAGGAATAACCGATTACCTCATCCATATAAGAGGATTATTCCTATACTCCCTACTACAATCACCCAAATATCACTACTACTTCCCTATTATCAAGACCAGTATAGGAATAACCAATTACCCCATCCATATTCCCTAAGGTGGTATTATCATCCCGAAATGGGCAAAGGTTCTCTCATAGATTTTACTAGGCTTGGGGTTGAAGCCTTGGAGGACAATAGGCATTGTTCCCGACATGATGCACCGAAGTCTGACCAAGAGCAGATGACCACATGTTTCTGCAGACGCAGGCATGCACTTCATAGAAGCACCGGCAACACACATTGGTCTAATACTTTGAGGCAGGTAGGTGTGTAATTGAAGCGTTTCGCATCCGCGCCGTCATGGCAAACCCAACTGGTGATGATGGTTCTCCAAGTTGGACATCAAGGTGGAACAAGGCAGAGAAAGATTATGACGAAGCCGCGCAGGCGCTGGACAACGCCTTCCAAATGGAGAGTGTCAACGAACCATATGTTCAGCATCTCCAGAAGAAAATGCAGAATGCGCAGAAGGTGAAGGAGTTGCTGCTGCAATCGAAGTCCCAGTCATCAGAGGCACAGAACTTGCCAAACATAAGCCTCAAGTATTTCTGGGTTTCCTTTTGCCCGCTTATCCCCACTACTTATTCCCCAAGTAGTCCACGCTAGGAGGTTTGGTCCTTGCTAGGTTCTTTGCTTGGTTAGTTTGGTGGTTCGGGTGCTTAGGGATTTGGGGTGCATTCGTGAAAAATTGTTGCAGTCTTGCTTCCTGCGTGCAAGTGACCTGCAAAGTCAGGACAGTATGATACAGAAGATCGAGAGCCTGCGACTGGACTTGGGCGAGGTCAAGCAGGAAGTTTTGCAGGAAGTGGGCGAGGTCAAGCAGGAAGTTTTGCAGGAAGTGGGCGAGGTCAAGCAGGAAGTTGGCGAGGTCAAGCGGGTCCAGGAGGTCCAAGGAAGAACTTTGCCCATGATAGCAAAGCAACTATATGGCTTCCGTGCTGCCACCCACTCCACCTTCGACCCCGAGTTTGAAAGCAAGTGCCAAACATATTATGGGACAACTTCATGCATGGTTTTGGGTCAAATTTTTCCAGAGTGTCTTCAAGACTGGGGTAAGGATTATTACTTTGGTTCCGATTATTTCCTGCCCGTGGGTGAGCACATCTACAAGAAGAGCATGGAGAAGGAAGGAAAAGACTTGGGCATCGTGACCCGACATCCTCGGAATGGACTGCTTCTGGTAAAAGCATTGGAGTCACAGTTCCAGGATGGTCACATGGTGCTGATTCCAGTGGAGGCAGCAGGCGAGCAGTTGTGCAGTGACGCCGGCACTCTTTCTGATGTATCAGAACCCGAGACGACAGTCACGCTACAAATCCACGTTGCCGCATTTCTGCATGATGAACCTGTCATGTGGTCGGACAAGAAGCAGAAATTGATCGGGCCGGTTCCTTTTGAAAGACCCGTCACAGAGGAGCCGAAGGGGACGGGCAACAACAAAAAGAGCAAGAGCAAGAAGAAAGCCTTGCGGACGCAGCCCATTACGTTTGGTGAGTTGCATCAGCGAAGCATCGTCCTTCGAAAGCCTTTCATGGCAAGCCTTTACATGCAATTAGAGTTTGCTCACGAGACTCATAGTGAACTCCCTGATCCGAAAGATGCCAATGTTCGTGACAATTTCTTTGGCATATGCCAAGATCGCATGCACACCCTCATGCAGGGCTTGTGTCGTGAAGTGGAGCCGAAGCGAGTTCTTCCAGAGGAGGCTGCCTTCGCAGGCGACACGTAGACATGTTCAGACTGGGCGCTGTGATTCTCAATTGGTCCATGTGTGTCCGCGTGTGTTAGAGTTTCACCTGCTGCCAAAGCAATCGGCATGCTCGCGGATGGTAAAACAGCGTCGCTAGTTGCAGTTTTGTATGCTCGAACCCTGCCCCCCTAGGAAAGCCATATACACACACAATCGCAGCGAAGCACAAATGGACGCACAAACAAGTTTGACACATATGGTGTAGGGATTTTTGGGGCTTTTATTGGTCTTAAATATTAAAGAATGTTGATACATATAGAGACACACAAACCACTGAGCAAAAACAAACAAAAAACAAGAAACCAACAAAACAAATAGAAAACAAAATAATAAAATCAAGTTACTAAAAAGAAGCGTTTCACGATCATGATATTATTAACATCAATAATAATATTATGATCATCACAGTTTTTGATCTGCTATATAATCCCATATTGTATGAAAGTCAAAATGTTTTCTCCGTAAGTTTATCTGATATTCCATGTATGCCATAAGTATGGCTTTCAAAACATCTATAACATAACCTTCGTAGCATGTTCTGTATGTTACCGTTTCCTTCATTCTCTCTGTATACTGGAAACTAAAATATCCCATTGTATTCAGAATAAAGTTTCTTTTATAACTGTCAAACATATGAACCGAACCTGTATCATTTATAAACTTCTTCATTAGTAATTTGGTTGCGTGATTATACAAAACCGAACGTTCTATTACTCTCTTAAAATACTCTTTCTTTTTCTTGTTCTCTAACTTTTGGTATGATTTATCAACAAAGTTAAAGATACAATGTATCTGTTTTTCAGCCTTACATAATTTGTTATATTTATCTTGGTTATAAATCTTCTCATACTCTAGTATTTCTGAACAACAATGACAGGAAAGATAAGAGGTAATATTATCAGTTATATTTTCATCAAATATGCACGTCAGCACCTCTCGCTTTCTGTTTCTGTGTTCTTTGCATACTCCACATTCAAAATCAAAACGAAATATTTTCATCATTATATTCTAACATATATAGACAATATTTCTTTAAATGCTTTTCTTAAGAAATTAATTCTAAAGAATATTAAACTTCTAATAACTGCAAGTGTTTGGGTGACTTCGTATGAGAAGCCATATTTCTAACGGATATGTAACAACCACATTCGCATAGTCGTTTTTCCTTGAGATGTTCAGCTATAGTTTGTTTGTTCTCTTCTCTATACATTTTGTCCGCTTCATGTTTGTGATCTTTTGTTCTGTCCCTGTATTCTTTCCTCTGCGCTCGTATGGTTTCATAATTATCCCTATAGTGTTCTTTCTTGCTTCTTCCCATGACTTTTCTGTTTACACATTCCTCATTCCGGATGTGATGCCCTTCCCGTGCTTCTAGTTCTGATTTACCACTGCATGGATACAACTCCAATAACTCAATTTTGCAGTTTTCTATTCCGAATTCTTCAAACAGTTTAAATACTGTGTTGTTAAATGTTCGTTTTTGAAGATACTGCTTATACTTGTCCCTATGCTTGGTCATCCGCTTGGAAAGGTCTTCCACAGTGCTTCCAATATAGCATTTTGCGTAGTTGTCATCCCATATTTTGTAAATTTTCCCTTTTGTATAATCTGGCATTGCTAAATATAGTAATATATACTCTTTTATCCTTAATTACCTTTTTATACCTTTAGCAACTCAAAACGTAAATATGGTCTTGTTTGCCCTTCTACATAATAATAACTTTGACTTAATTTCTTTTCAATTCTTTCTATTGTATACACACCTTTACTGAAATTTCCTACCCTTTCCTTCTCATTCGGTTTTCGCTTCCTAAATATCTTGACTTCGTCACCCTTGTTAATATCCGGATATATCCTATTACGTTTACCACTACTGGCAATATTCAACCTGACGCTTAATTCGTTACTCGGTTTCCGCGCCTCTTTCGGCGTGAATTTTGTAGCGGAATGTATCATCTGGTTGTTATATGTCAGCAATATCTCGTGAATATAATCAGCCCATTGAATATTACTTTTCCCTTTTTTCTCGTCAGCCTCAACTCGTTTATATAACATGTCCTTGAAAGTTCTGATCGCCCTCTCACTGAAATTTGCGTGAGCCCTTGTCCTATGGTGCTCTATCTTCTGTTCCTTTAAATATGTTTGAATAGCTTCTTTAGACAGAGCGCCTTCATCATCCGTATAGAGTATTTTAGGTTTTTTCCCCATCTTATGCAAACACTCAATCATACCACTCGCTAAATCCTCTTCTTTTTTGCCTTTTATTGCTACGACATGCATAAACTTATCAAAGACATCTATCATGATCATACCAACCTTAAACTTTTGATCTTCCAGATCAT